GCAGTGGCATGCTCCTGGCCACCGCAGCCTCGACCTACTGGGCTCAGGTGATCCTTCTGCCTCAGCCTTTCAAGTAGCTGGAACTACAGGCGCATGCTACCACACGCGGTTAATTTTTTATTTATTGTAGAGACGAGGTCTCGCCAAGTTGCCCAGGCGGGTCTCGAACCCGCGGGCTCAGGCCGTCCATTTGCCTCAGCCTCCCAAAATGCTGGGATTACAGGCTGAGTCACCGAGCCCGGCCTATTTTTATTTTTTGCGTCAAGGCCTCACTCTTTTGCCCAGGCTGGAGTGCAGGGGCACGATCACTGCTCACCACAGCCTTGACTTCCTGGGTCCTGGCGATCCTTCTGCCTCAGTCTCTGGAGTAGCTGGGACTACAAGCACGTATTACCACGCCCAACCAACTTTTTTTTTTTTTAATTTTTTTGTAGAAATGACGTCTTGTTATGTTACCTAGGCTGGTCTTGAACTCCTGGCCTCTCGCCTCAGCCTCTCAAAGTACTAGAATTACAGGTGTGAGCTATAATGCCTGGCCTCCAACTACCCATTTTAATTTCAGTTTTTATTATTTTATTTTATTTTTGTATAGACAGGGTCTTAACTTCTTGCCCAGGCTGGTCTCAAAATGCCTAGGCTCAAGCGATCCTCCAGCCTCAGCCTCCTGAAGTGCTAGGATTAGAGGCATGAGCCACTGTGCCGGACCCCAAATAACCATTTTGTTTATTTTCTTTTCTTTTTTCTTTCTTTTTTTTGAGTTGGAGTCTTGCTCTGTCGCCCAGACTGGAGTGCAGTGGCCGCTCCCGGCCACGGTAGCCTCGACCCGCTGGGCTCCCGGCGTTCCTTCCACCTCAGCCTTCCGAGTAGCTGGAACTACAGGCACGCGCTACCACGCCCGGCTGATTTTTGATTTATTGTAGACTTGAGGTCTCGCCAAGTTGCCCAGGCGGGTCTCAAACCCGCAGGCTCAGGCAATTCACTCACCTCAGCCTCCCAAAGCGCTGGGATTACAGGCTGAGCCACCGAGCCCGGCAAACATGAATTCTTTAAATATCTCATCTTATTTAGTGGCAGTGGGGAAGAAACTAATGTTCTATGAGTAAAAGTTGAATAATAAACAAACTGGGTGTGGTGATGCACACCTGTAGTCCCAGCTACTCAGGAAGTTGAGACGGGAGGTCTCTTGAGGCTAGGAGTTCGATGCTGCGGTGATCACACCACTGCACTCCAGCCTGGGTGACAGATCGAAAGCCTGTCTCAAAAGATTTTGTGAAATAAACAAATTCGTTTTTTCACATCCCCTGGCTGAGACAGTAGCATTCTGAAAAGCAGTGTTCTACTGTTCACCTTTGGTTTTTGTGTCCCAATTTTCCTCCTAGCTTTTGTGAAATGGTTCAGCATTTGTGTAACTACCCAGATCAAGTGTTTCCAGCCGGCAGCATGACTCAGTCTTGGAATTTTGGGGAGGTGTGGGACCACTGTCTGTGTGGTTTTGGGACCGACCTGACTGCAGGGCCAGCCACCCAGCCTCTCCTTTCTCTGCAGCTGCGCCAGGAGGCCAGAGCCGCCCTGACCCGGGCATCCTCGTCTGTCCAGGCTGCTACAGTGACCGTCACGGGAGCCAGGACCCTGCTGGCCGACCTAGAAGGTATGCGCCTAGCTGAGCGCTGGACTCTATGATAGACAGATGCTCCTGACACCCACCCAGCTCTTGCTTCAGCCAGAGTGGACTTAGTTGCAGGCGATGTAGGTCCGGTCTTGGGGCGACGTTTCGCTTGACTGCTTGTCCCTCCCTGCCTCACTTGCTACTCCCCAGGGATTTGCCACGGGGCCATCCACCCTCAGCGTCATCAGACCATGTGCAGAGCTCCTAGGGACCCAATGGGAAGAGACTGATGTCATTGGCTGCCCTCCCCCCCGCCCCCTCATCGGTCTAGTCCACTCTGACTGGGGGGGTCTAGTTACCTGCTGCAAAATGATTGCCTTAGTCCAGTGTTGGACTATGGGAGGGAGATAGAGTTTCTATTCAGAAGGGAGAGTGGGAAGCCGGCATGGTGGCTCATGCCTGTAATCCTAGCACTTTGGGAGGTGGAGGTGAGAGGATTGCCTGAGCCCAGGAGCTCGAGACAAGTCTGGGAAACTTTGCAAGACATCGTCTCTAAAAAATAAAAAAATTAGCCCACACTTGTGGTTCCAGCTACATGGAAAGCTGAGGCGGAAGGATCGCCTGAGCCCCGCAGGCCAAGGCCGCAGTGGCCATGAACGTGCCTCTGCACTCCAGCCTGGGCGACAGAGTAAGACTCTAATTCAAAAAAAGCGGGGGGGGAGTGTGGGTTGATACCAGTCCAGGTCTCTTGAACTTTAGGGAAGTGAGGCTAAGATGGGTATACCGAGGAAAGGAATTGCCATCCCCCCCAGGTCAGAGCTGAGCTGGGACTGGAAGCCAGCAAGCAGTAGGATTTTGTGCCTTGGTGTTCCCTGCTTAATGGGCTTCTGTGATGCCCTCTTGACTCTAGAGAAAAGCCCCCTCAGCCCTGATTTGTGGCTTCTTATCCAACAGGCTAGACAAGGCAGGGATCTGCCCTGAGCCCCAGATGTCTCTGGGGGTCTGAGACCAGCAGCCAGGCCTCTGCTGTCCTCCTGGTCCTGCAGCCTCCAGCCACAGCCTCCCCCCCGCACCTTGGTGGCTGCCCGTGAGAGATGCAGCCCCAGCTACTGACCCGGAATCGGTGGTCTGGTCACCTCCTCCTGTTCCCCAGGCTCCTTGGCAGCCAGAAGTCCTGGTCACCCCTGGTTAGGGGGCTTCATGTGGGGAAGGAGTGGCTGTGTGGGCTTGTGTACCCAGAGTCGTATTTAGGAAAAGGTGTATGCAGTGATTCACAGTGATGCCATATTAAGGTCTTAGAACATCTGGGTTATCAAGGGTCTTGTGTGTGTATGTGTGTGTTGGAGTCTCACCCTGTCACCCATGCTGGAGTGCGGTGTCATGGTCACGGTTCACCACAGCCTCAACCTCCTAGTTGCAGGCAGTACTCCCACCTCAGCCTCCCAAGGAGCTGGGACTACAGACACAGGCCAACACACCCGGCTAAATGAGATCTCACTGTGTTGCCCAGACTGTTCTTGAACTCCTGGACAATCCTCTCACCTAGGGCTCCCTCCTAAAGTGCTAGGATTACAGGTGTGAGCCACCCACTCAGCCCAGAGTGATGAATGATGGCAAAATTGTCCCAGCATTTGGGGGGGCCCAGAGAAAAAAACAGGTATTTATAACCCAGGCTGATCTGAGGAAGCACCCAGCCCAGTCTGGAGAGGTCAGGGAAGGCTTCCTGGTGGAGGTGGGCTCTCAGGTGTGTGCCACTGTGCACCTTGCCAGGTTGCAAATCCCACACCAGACAGGGAACTTATCTACATTTGACTTGCCTATCTCCAGCAATGGGGAGCTCACTACCTTACAAGGCACCCACCTTCTCCTTGTCGGATGGTTTTGAAAATGAGAATGTTCTCGCATGTACCAGGCGGAAATTTGCCTCCCTGGCGTTTTCCAGTGTGAAAGCTAACCTCAAACCCTAGCCCTGGGCCCTTTTCCCCATTCCCACCCCATTTCAGAGACACCCCCTCTCACCACCACTTGGCCTGTGCTCAGCTGGTATTCAGGATAAAAGGCAAATTCTCACAATGAAATGTCTCCCCTAGAGTGTGGTCTGGGGTCTTCTAATCTATAATAAGCTCTGCCAAGAGAGGGTTCCTGTTCAAATAAGTTTAGGAAATGTCTCATACTGCAGTGCCTCTTGAAGCCTTACAGAGAACCCTTCAGAATGCTAAAGGCTCTGAAAAGTCCTGTAATAAAGAAATCTGGTTCACTTTATTTAAGCTTGATTGACATTTCCCCTTAATGTTTATTAACACCCTGTAGAGTTGGGTTCTACAGAATGCCACTGCACTCCAGCCTGGGTGACTGAGTGAAACTCTGTCTCAAAAAAAAAATAATAATAATAACTAGGCCAAGCATGGTAGCTTCATCTGTAATCCAGCACTTTGGGAAACTGAGACAAGAGGATTATGTGCACCCAGGAGCTCAAGACCAGGGGACAACATAGTGAGACCTCATCTCTACCAAAAATTAAAAATTAGCCAAGCATGGTGATGCATGTCTGTAGTCCCAGGTACAAGGGAGGCTGAAGTGGGAGGATCGCTTAAAGCCAGGCATTTGAGGCTGCAACGAGCTATGATCACACCATTGCACTCCAGCTGGGGTGACAGAGTGAGACCTCATCTCTTAAAAAAAAAAAAGCAAATTCGCAAGAAAGCAGTCTTCTCTCGCTTATTTTTGGTTTCCCCCAGGTAAGCCTAAGAAGGTTTTACAGAGGGGTCTCATGCATCTTGAACCTCCGCTCATATTGTCCAAGGGTCTGGGGCCCGTCAGGCATCTGCCCGTGGCCGCCTGGCAGGCGCTGGGGATGGGAGCCCAGTTCCCCCGACTCAGCCTCGGCTGGCTTTGCAGGGATGAAGCCGCAGTTTCCTGAGCCCAAGGACCAGACTGCGCTGCAGAGGAAGGCGAGCAACGTCAGGTTCAGGCTCCTTGCAGACACGGGAAAGAAGACCAGGCAGGCGGAGAGGATGCTGGGAAACGCGGCGCCTCTCTCCTCCAGCGCCATGAAGAAGGGCCGAGAGGCTGAGCTGTTGGCGGAGGACAGTGCCAAGGTCAGGGCGGTGCCACGACGACAGTGGCTGTCTGTCTTCAGGGCCCGTGGAAGGACTGCCGCCAAAGAGCTGCCCTTCTGCTCATGCTGTCCAAGGGTCTGGCGAGAGGATTGTGTGCTCCCAGGGCTGACGGCGCCGCACTTGAACTTGCTAACTGCTCAGTGGGCCCCCCGGGCATGTAGTTCAAGGGCTTCACGGGGGGTGAGTGTGTTTGTTTGTCGTGAAATAGGTGTCATCGCTGTCCCAGTGTACAGGTGAGGACGTGGAGAATCAGCCTCGTTCAGACCTTAACCAGGACTCACACGTGGGTCTGTTTGACTTTCCTGTCCAAACCTCTAGGCTTTTCTTTCTTTTTAAAAAAAATTTTTTATTATTATTATTATTATTTATAGAAAGCAGGATTTATTGAGAGGACAGAAAAGCTCACACAGTGGGAGGGGACCCGAGAGGGTTGCCCAAATTTTATTATTTAAAAATATATTTTTATTTTACTCACCTGACTGAGTGACTTTAAGTAGGCATTTCTTTCTTTCTTTTTATGTTTTTTATTGTGTTTTTGAGACCTAGTCTCTGCAATAAATAAGAACAAAATCAGCCGGGCGTGGTAGTGCACGCCTGTAGTGCCAGTTACTTGGAAGGCTGAGACGGAAGGATTGCCGGAGCCCAGCAGGTCGATGCTGAGGTGGCCGTGAGCATGCCACTGCACTCCAGCCTGGGCAGGCAAGGGAGTGAGACTCCCACTCAAAAAAAAAAAGGAATTTGGCCCCAGTTAAAGAAGAGCCATGGCTGGGTGCAGTGGCTTGCACCTGTAATCCCAGCACTTTGGGAGGCCAAGGCAGGAGTATCACTTGAGCCCAGGGGTTTGAGACTAGCCTGGGCAACACAGTGAGACTTCATCTCTATTTTTAAAAAGGAAAGGCTGGCACGGTGACTCAACCTGTAATCCCAGCACTTTGGGAGGCCGAGGTGAGAGGATTGCCTGAGCCCAGGGGTTCGAGACCAGCCCGAGCAACTTGACAAGACCTCACCTCTACAATAAATCAAAAATTAGCCGGGTGCGGTAGCGTGCACCTATAGTTCCAGCTACTTGGAAACCTGAGGCGGAAGGATCGCCTGAGCCCAGCAGGTTGAGGCTGTGGTGGCCGGGAGCGTGCCACTGCACTCCAGCCTGGGCGACTGAGTGATGGAACTTTTTTCTCGGATGGAAAAAAAAAAGTTGGAACTTCTCCTCTGGAGAGAAATGAATAGATCCAGAAATTTGTGCTGTGTCCATCACCTTGCCTGCATTTGGTACATTTTTGTTGAATGAATGGTCAATCCATCATGCATACACATGACTGCCTGGCGTTACCATGAACGCTCTTGACCTCCAAAAGGGCTGACTCCCTCATCTGCTTCTCCCTGTCACTGCTGTCCATCCCACAGCTCGCCAAGGCCTTGCTGAGGGAGGGGAGACAGGGGCACCGCCGTGCCAGCCGCCTCACCAGCCAGATGCAGGCCACGCTCCGACAGGCCTCCCGCCAGGCGGCGGCCTCTGGAGCGCGCAGACAGGAGCTGGAGGAAGCTGAGCGGGTATGTGTGCCAGGGCCCCGCCCTGTTTGCTCCTGCCCCTGGCAGCCGCTCAAGCTGTCCCTCCTCTCCTCATAGGTGGGCGCTGGGCTGAGCGAGATGGAGCGGCACATCCAGGAATCTCGTGTCTCCCTGGAGAAGGACATCCGGGCCTTGTCAGAGCTGCTTGCCAGGCTGGGTAAGGAGACCCCAAGGCTGGGCCCGGAGTCTCTGGGTCCCCCAGGGGAACCTCTGGGAACTTCCTGTGAGGTCCAGTCCTGGGGAAGGGTTCCTCCTTGTCCCCATCCTTGTAGTCAGTCACCAACACTTGTAACGAACCCAGGCCCCCTGTCGCGAGGCAGGATTGGTGTTTGGAATTGAGTTCACTTTGAGAAACTCGTTGTAGGTCAGGTGCAGTGGCTCATGCCTGTAATCCCAGCACTTGGGGAGACCGAGACGAGAGGATTGTTTGAGTCCAGGATTTCAAGACCAGCCTGGGCAACCCAGCAAGACCTCATCTCTACAAAAAATTAAAAATTAGCTAGGTGTGGTGGTGTGCACCTGTAGCCCCAGCTATTCAGGAGGCTGAGGCAGGAGGATCGCCTGAGCCCAGGAGATCAAGGCTGTAGTGAGCCATGATTGTGCCACTGCACTCCAGCCTGGGCAACAGGGAGACTCCGACTCCAAAAAATAAAATAGAAGTAAATGCAGGGTAATTTAGTAAGTGCTGACCACAGTGCATGGTATGTGGTGAGGGCTGGAAGTAGCGGCTGTCTGATGGAGGTCGAATTCTAGGTGGGCCTTAGCAAGGAGGCATTTTGGATGAGGGAGTCAGTACCTACCAAGGCATGGCGTGCAAAGGTCCTAGGATAGGGAAGCCTGGGAGGATAGCCATCAGGGCAGGCGGGATGACGTGAATAGCATGTCTTTTTTTCAAATTGTGGTAGAACACACATAACACGAAACTTTCCATCTTTTTTTTTTTTTTGAGTCGGAGTCTCACTCGGTCGCCCAGACTGGAGTGCAGTGGCCGCTCCCGGCCACCGCAGCCTCGACCTGCTGGGCTCAGGCGATCCTTCCACCTCAGCCTTCCAAGTAGCTGGAATTACAGGCATGCGCCACCACGCCCGGCTGATTTTTTGATTTATTGTAGAGACGAGGTCTCGCTGCCCAGGTGGGTCTCGAACCCGCAGGCTCAGGCAATCCACTCACCTCAGCCTCCCAAAGGCACGGGATTACAGGCTGAGCCACCGAGCCCAGCTAAAACTTTCCATCTTAACCATTTTCAAGGGTGCTGTTCAGTGGCCTCAGTCACATCTTGTGCAGCTGTCACCACCATCCATCTTCAGAACTTCTTCGTCTTCCCAGACGGAACGCTGTCCCCATGAAACATGGGCTCCCCATTCCCGGTTCCCCAGCCCCTAGGAAACCACCATTCTACTGTCTGTTCCTAGGAATGGGACTGTTCTGGGGACCTCATGCCAGTGGAATCCTACCGTACTTATTTCATTAGCATAATGTCCTTACGGTTTATCCAAGCATCAGCATCGATTGTCGTATTCATAAGGAGGAGGGCCAGGCACGGTGCCTCACACCTATTATCCCAGCACTTTGGGAGGCCGAGGTGAGAGGATTGCCTGAGCCCACGGGTTCGAGACCAGCCTGGGCAACTTGGTGAGACCTCGTCCCTACAATAAATGAAAAAAAATTAACCAGGCATGGTGGCACGTGCCTTTGGTTCCAGCTACTTGGAAGGCTGAGGCAGAAGGATTGCCTGAACCCAGCAGGTCGAGGCTGCGGTGGCCATGAGTGTGTCCCTGCACTCCAGCCAGGGGGACAGAGTGAGATGCCAACTCAAAAAAAAAAAGAGAGGAGGAACAGTTGCCATGTTCTGCATTTTGTCTGAACACCAGGCCCATGCTAAGCTATTCACATGTGATTTTAAGTAGCCAGGCCTACAGGCACACGCACCACCATGCCCAGCTACTTTTTCTAGAGCTCTCACTATGTTGTCCAGGCTGGTCTTGAACTCCTGGCTTCAAGCAATCTTCTCACCTCAGCTTCCCAAAGTGCTGGGAGTACAGGTGTGAGCCACCACACCTGACCATCTGTCTTTCTCTTGAATGTCACATTTTGTGACAAGGTGACAAGGGCCAGGTGCAGGAGGCGTCTCCATGGTCTCCATGCCACCATCACCACCAAGTTTCAATGTGAGCACCTGACCCTGCCCCCTTGTCTGACACTTGGGGAGGGTCAGAGAAGGCTGTAACCCCAAGAAGTAGCACCAATACACACAGGAGCTGGAACGAGGACCCGTGTCTGCTTTCCAGGCTTGCAGTCCCTGCTTCTGCTGCCTCCCAGCCTGGTCTGAAGCTAGAGACCCTGTATTTACCCCAGTGACAACCCTCTCCCGGCACACACTTGACATCTGTAGGCGTGAGTCTCAGGGAATTGATACAGCATGTTCGAGCCAGCAGATCTTGGCCACCTCCCTCATACACACTGCTTTATAGACAGGGAAACTGAGGCTCAGAGAAGACCTATCTAAGGCCTTTTCTCATCAACAAAAATAAACAGTTGGCCAGGCGCTGCAGCTCACGCCTGCAGTCCCAGCAGTTTGGGAGGCTGAGCTCGGAGGATCACTTGAGCCCTGGAGTCTGAGACCAGCCTGGGCAACATATTATGACTTCGTCTCTACAAAAAAATCAAAAAATTATCCGGGCATGGCGGCACACACCTGCAGTCCCAGCTACTCGGGAGGCTGAGGCAGAAGGATCACTTGAGCCCAGGAGCTGGAGGCTGTGGTGAGCTGTGATTGTGCCACTGCACTTCGCCCTGGGTGATGGAGTGAAACCCCCACTGAAAAAAAGAAACGGACAGTTGTCCAGTGCCATCCAGGGAAAGTTCGAGGATCTGCACATGAGCCCGTGGGGATACCTGGGCTGTTGCCCTGCTCACCACACAGCACAGCCTTCTTGGCCTCTGTCCTTCCCTGGTGGACGGTAGAGAGTCAGAGTCCTGGAAGACCCGAGCTGGAGGGAGTCTTGGGATGGGGCTGAACGGATTCCCGGGGCATGCTGGGCAGCCAGCTCACACGAGGCTGTCATACCCTTCTGCAGGATCGCTGGACACCCGTGGGGCCTCAGCTCAGACCCTGAACGAGACTCAGCGGGCACTGGAACGCCTGAGGCTGCAGCTGGGCTCCCCAGGTGCCCTGCAGGGGAAACTGAGCCTGTTGGAGAGAGAGTCGGAGCAGCAGGAGCTGCAGATCCAGGGCTTCGAGAGTGACCTCGCCGAGATCCGCGCTGACAAGCAGAACCTGGAGGCCATTCTGCACAGCCTGCCCAAGAACTGTGCCAGCTGGCAGTGAGGGCTGCCCACACCCCCGGCACCTGTTCCCTCACCTGCTGTTTACACGGCCCAGGGCAGGCACGCCCCCCCACAGGTGTGCCCATGCAGGCACGCCCTCAGAGCCGGCTGCCGTGGACTCTTCTGTGTGAGTAGTCACTTCCCGCAGAGCTTGTCTGTAGCCTCTCCCGGCCAGCAGGAGTGAGTGTGCACAACCCATTCTTCCTCAATTAGCTGGGCGTGGTGGCGCATGCCTGTGGTTCCAGCCACTTGGGAGGGTCAGGCAGAAGGAGTGCCTGAGCCCAGGAGGTCGAGGCCGCAGTGAGCCGTGATTGTGCATATGCCAACCCCCGCGCGCGCAGGCATAAACATGTACACCTCAGTGTCCAGATGCGTGTCTGTGTGTATGATGTATACATGCTCAAGTCTTTCCAGGCATGCACAAAGGATAGTCCACAGCTGTTGTTGAGAGCCACCTCTGGGCTAGGCTCTCTGGGTGAGTTATGCCAGATACCCACCCTCCCACTGGACAGCAGCGACAGCCCAGCAGGTCCGCGGAGATGGCGCGCGGGGGGGGGCTCAACGAGGACCAGAGCCCTCAGCCCCAGACCGTCCTCTGTCCCAGTGCGGCATCCCCAACCTGTTGCCTGTGCGTACACCCAGCAGTTCCTCGAAGCGGAGGGACCTGCAGGCCAAGAAATTTGAGATCCTGGGCAGGTTCCCTGTGGTGGAGTCTGAAGCCCAGGGACCCCTGAGGTCATGGCGGGGGGTGCTGGGCTGGCAGAAGCAAGGCTCACCCTGGCAGGGGCTTTACCAGATGCTTCCGTCTCAGGATCCCAGCACTGCACCAGATAGAAGAGCTTGCCTATCTTGGGCCTCACACACCCATCAGCCTGTGACCTGTCCACAGAGCCAGGCCCTGAGGTCACGGAGGAGGCCTGGGTCAGGGGGACTCAGGTCACCAGGAGTACTCCTTTGTGTCCCCCATCAACCCTGTTGGCCTTTGATGGACACTTTCTGGATCAGCCCTGCGGCCCCACCCACACGAGGGAGGCCACAGGGGTGTGGACATCTGGCTGCCGTTCCAGCCAGTCCTGCCCAGGGAATCCCCCTGTGGCCAGGCCTGCATGCCAGCCTCTGCCCAGGACTCTCCGGCATTTCCTCCTGGCACGCCTCCCCCACTTTCCCAGGCCCCTGTCCAGCAGATAGCAGGGCCTTGGCACTGGGAAGACAGGTGTCTCTGCAGGGCCAGCCCTGTCCCAGGGCTCCTCCTGACAGCGACCCGGGGGACAGGTGACCAGTTCTGTTTAACGTGGAAATAAAGGACCCTTTACTGAGCTGGGTGTGTGCCTCTGATCCTTCCCTGCCATGGCAGTCGGGGCCCTGGCTGTGGGGGCACACGTGGCACCCTGGAGGTGGCCAGTGAGTGGAGCAGATGTTTGGTGGCCCCTCATCCCCGTGCTGTGGTAGTCACATGACTGTGCCGGTGACTCCCACTGGGGAGCTTTGCTGGGGTGCTGTGGCCACAGGAACCTACCCTCTCCTCTCTGCTCCAGGGTGCTTCTCAGGCAATGACTAGGGGTTGGAGAGCTTAGGGGTGGGGTGCAGAGAGGGCCTCCACTGACCTCCAGCCAAGTGTCCAGCAGCACAGCCAGGAGCAGGGAGGGGCAGCATCCACGAGGAGGAAGGGAGGGAGGGCTTTGGGCGTGCCTTGAAAAGGAGACAGAGGAGGAGACATTCCAGGCTAGAGGGTGGCCAGCAGCCTGGGGCTTGCAGGGTGGGGGTTGGCCAACTTGCATCATGCCGGGAGCCCAGGCTGAATGGGTGGGATTATAGGGCTGCTTAGCTAGGGCTCTTGGCCCCAAAGCCCAAGCCACTCCCAAATTGGTTTAAGCAGGGAGGGTCACTTGGAGCCCTGGGATGGGAAAGGCTGCCAGACCTTGGAGACCGAGCAGGAGGGGGGACGAGGAGGGGGATGGGGAGCCCAGAGGGCTGCCAGGAGACAGCCTCATCGCCCTCCCTCTGGCCTCTTGGTCTCTGCCTCTGCCCCTCTCTGCCATGAGGGCTCTGGCCTTTTCTCTTTGAAGAGTAGCTTTCTTTGCTTTCCTTGCACTTGAGGAAGAAGACACCCTTCCTGCGTCCCCCGCCTCCCTTGGCCCCAGGTCGTGTCACCAGGTCCAATGGCTTGCAGGAGACAAGCTGGCGACTCTGTCCTGACTCCAGCTTCGGTCAGGCCCAACTCTTGTTCGGGATAATGCGACTCTCTGGATCCAAGGCCACATCGTGAGATGCCTTATGTCTCCCCAGCCTAACGGGGGACAGTCTTCAGAGAGGAGGGTACGCTCCTCCACAGAGAACCCTAAAATTTAAGCGAGCGGGGGTAGATGGGACAGACATTATTAAGCTGGGCTAAGGAGTGACTTGGTAAGTTTCCAGGTGAGAGACTAAAGACAGAGAACAGCAAGTTTGCTGACTGGTGTCTGGTATAAACGGTGCTGAGGAGTCGGGGTTCTTAGTAGACCTCTGGAACACAGTCTGACATCCCCGTGGCCCCTCTCCCCAGGGTCTCTGCCGACAGGGCACACAACCGTTCTGATGCCTGCTCTTGGCATTTGACCTCAATCCACTCAAGCCACAGGGCCTAGCAAAGCCCAGTCCCGGCATCCCTGACGGGTGGAGATCCAGTTTCTTGTCCATCCCACACAGATGTAAGCTCAGGCCTGACATCTTGTGACTCATGCCGTTGGATCATGCCTGGTGCACGTGCAGAGTCCTTCTCCGGCGCTAGAGGTGGGGCCTCTGCCGGCTGGAGTGTGGCAGCTGGTGAACATCTGGCTAGCAATACAGCCCACGGTGGGCAGTAGAAGGTGGGCTGGCCCCTGCCCTGCAGGATGGCTGACGGGGCCAACCTGTCCTACTGGCCAGGGCAATAGGCTACCCGAGCCTGGACGGGGAACTACCTTATGGGGGTCCTATTCTAAGTCAACACCCCTCTTTGGCCTCCAGAGGAAACACCTCCCATCAGCCAAGCACTGTAACTCCTAAGCCCTTCTCCCCTCCAAGTTTTGACCATCTGCTTAAACCACCCAGGAGACAATCACAATCATAAAAGCCTCTGCTTAGTGACAAGTTTTGACCATCTGCTTAAACCACCCAGGAGACAATCACAATCATAAAAGCCTCTGCTTAGTGACAAGTTCTTCCATTCTGAGGCTCAGCCAGGTCAACTGCTTTGCCCAAGGTGAAACAGTTCGGCCAGATCCCAAACCTCAGGGATGGATGGGCACAGTAGGAGAAGCAGGCACTGACTGGGAGGAGGGACCTGCTCCCGGACTGCTGCACTGGTGTTTGTCCTGTCAAGGTCTGCCCAGTCCCTCGCTGGGGCAGCCCGGCCACTTCCCTCCCCGGGGGGTGGGGGGTGGGGGGTCAAGACCCAATCCTAATCTAGGGAAGGAGACTTCCTGGATCGGATCTGCAGAGACTGCTCTGTGTGTGCCGCGCGGCTGTTCCTAGTGACCAGGTGTGCCGCTTGGCCAGGACAGTCCCTGTCTATGCCTGTTCCTCAGTATAATTACTAGGACTGTCCCCTTTACTCTCAGACAGTCCTGGTTTGGACGCTAGACTTCATGGTCACCCTGGTGGCAAGTGTCCGGTCCCTGCACCCTGAGCTCCACCCCTCTTGGAGTTATTAGCTGCAGCAATCCCCCTGGCGACCTTGCACCCCAGGCTCCAACTGCCTGCCCAACAGGCACGTGCGGGTCCAACTTCACCGAGTTCTGCCAGCGAAATGACTGGGGCGCGGTGCAGAGCGCTGGGTGCATGGGGACTCCACCGGCCCGAGGCGCCGGGTGTGTTCGCCAGCCTCGAACTCGCTCCCGTGGCTTTGACCCGCCGTGGGCGTCGGGCAGGACGGCGCGAGGGGCCGTGC